GGATTACAAAAAAAAAAGAAGAGGAGGATGGGAAGAGAAGATAAAAAAAAAAGAGGAAGAGGATTACAAACAAAAGAAGAGGAGGATGTGGAAGAGAAGATAAAAAGAAAAAAAGGAAGAGGATTACAAAACAAAAAAAAGAAGAGGAGGATGTGAAAAAGAAGATAAAAGACAAAAAAGAGAAGAGGATTACAAAACAAAAAAGAAGGAGGGAAGAGAAGATAAAAAGAAAAAAAGAGGAAGAGGTTACAAACAAAAAAGAGGAGGATGAAGAGAAGATTAAAAAGAAAAAAAGAGGAGAGGATTACAAAAGAAAAAAAGAAGAGGAGGTTGGGAAGAGAAGACAAAAAAAAGAGAGGAAGAGGATTACAAAACAAAGAAAGAGGAGGATGTGGAAGAGAAGATAAAAAAAAAAAAGAGAGAGAGGATTACAAAACAAAAGAAGAGGAGGATGGGAAGAGAAGATAAAAGAAAAAAAAGGAAGAGGATTACAAAACAAAAGAAGAGGAGGGGGTGGAAGAGAGTGTAAAAAAAAAAAGAGAGAGAGGATTACAAAAAAAAAAAAGAGGAGGGGGGAAGAGAAGAAAAAAAAGAAAAAATTAAAGAGAGAGAGGATTACAAAACAAAAGAAGAGAGAGGATGCTATAAAGAGAAGTTAAAACAAAAAAAGAGAGAAGAGGTTACAAAACAAAAAAGAAGAGGAGGGGATGTGGAAAAGAAGATAAAAGAAAAAAAAGAGAGAGAGAGGATTACAAAACAAAAAAGAATTGGAGGGGGTGGAAAAAAAGAAAAAAGTGTAAGATTCAAAACAAAAAAGAGGAGGATGTGGAAGAAAATAAAAAAAAAAAAGAGAGAGGATTACAAAACAAAAGAAGAGGAGGATGTGTAAGAGAAGACAAATAAAAAAAGAGGAAGAGGATTAAAAAAAAAAAGAAGAGGAGGATGGAAGAGAAGATAAAAGTTCAGAAATAAAAAGAGAGAGGATTACAAAACAAAAGAAGAGGAGGATTGGAGAGAGAAAGAAAAAAAAAGTGTAAAAGACAAACAAAAGAGAGAGGATGAGAAGAGAAAACAAAAGAAAAAGAGAGGAGGATTACAAAAAAAAGAAGAGGAGGTTCAGAGATAAAAGAAAAAGAGAAGAGGATTACAAAACAAAAGAAGAGGAGAGGGGTGGAGCATAATAAAAAAAGTTCAGACATACAAAGAGAGAGAGGAGGTTAGAGAAAACAAAGAAAAATTAGAGAGGATTACAAAACAAAAGAAGAGGAGGATGGAAAGACATAAAAGAAGAGGATTACAAAACAAAAGAAAGAGAGGAGGAGGAGAGAAGATAAAAGAAAAAGAGGAAGAGGAAGTTCAGACATAAAAAGAGAAAGAAAAGAGTTACAAAACAAAAAAAGAGGAAAACAAAAGAAAAGAAGAGGAGGATGTGGAAGAGAAGATAAAACAAAAAAAGAGAGAGAGGATTACAAAAAAAAAGAAGAAGAGAGGGTGGGAAGAGAAGATAAAAAAAAAAGAGTAAGAGGAAGACATACAAAAAAGAGAGGATGATGGGAAGAGAAAACAAAAAAATTAGAAGAGGACAAAACAAAAGAAGAGGAGTGGAAGTTCAGACAAATAAAAAGAGGGAGAGAGTTACAAAACAAAAAAATTAGAGAGGGGGTTGCTAAAAGAAAAAGAGAAGTTCAGACAAATAAAGAGAGAGAGTGATTAGAAAAAAAAGAAAAAGGGAGAGGAGGTTGCAAAATAAAAAGAAGAGGAGGATATAAAGAGAAGAGAAGTTAAAAACAAAAAAAAGAGAGGGGATTACAAAAACAAAAGAAGAGGAAGTGGAAGAGAAGATAAAAGAAAAAAAGAGGAAGAGGATTACAAAACAAAAGAAGAGGAGGAGAAGAGAAGAAAAAGAAAAAAGAGGAAGAGGATTACAAACAAAAAAAGAGAGAGAGAGGAGAGAAGATAAAAGAAAAAAGGAGAGAGAAAACAAAAAAGAGGAGGATGTGGAAGAGAAAGAAAAAAAAAAAGAGGAGAGGATTAAAAACAAAAAGAAGAGGAGGAGGGAAGAGAAAAAAAGAAAAAAGAGGAGAGACACAAAACAAAAGAAGAGGAGGATGTGGAAGAAAAAAAAAAAAAAAAAGAGGAAGAGGATTACAAAACAAAAGAAGAGGAGGATGTGGAAGAGAAGATAAAAAAAAAAAAGGAAGAGATTACAAAACAAAAGAAGAGGAGGATGAGAAGAAGATAAAAGAAAAAAAGTGAAGAGGAAAAAAGAAAAAGAAAGGAGGAGTGAAAGATAAAAAAAAAAAAAAGAGAAGAGGATTAGAAAAAAAAAAAAGAGGAGAGTGGAGTTCAGACATAAAAGAAAAAAAGAGGAGAGGATTACAAAACAAAAAAGAAGGATGTGGAAGAGAAGATAAAAGAAAAAAAAAGAGTGAGAAGGATTACAAAACAAAAGAAAGGAGGATGAAGAGAAGATAAAAAGAAAAAAGAGGAAGAGTTACAAAACAAAAAAGAAGAGGAGGATGCTGGGAAGAGAAGATAAAAAGAAAAAAGAGGAGAGGATTACAAAACAAAAAGAATTAGAGAGGAAGGATGATAAAAGAAAAAGAGAAGTTCAGACATAAAAAAAAGAAGAGGAGTGGAAGAGAAGAAAAAAAAAAAAGGAGGGAGAGGATTACAAAACAAAAAAAGAAGAGGAGGATGTGGAAGAGAAGATAAAAGAAAAAAAGAGGAAGAGGATTACAAAACAAAAGAAGAGGAGGATGTGGAAGAGAAGATAAAAGAAAAAGTGAGAGGATTACAAAAAAAAAAATTAGGAGGTTGCTGGAAGAGAAGATGCAGCAAAAAGAAAAAAGAAAAAAAAGGAAGAGGATTACAAAAAAAAAGAAGAGGAGGATGTGGGAAAGAAGAAAAAAAAAAAAAAGGAGAGAGGATTACAAAACAAAAAAGAAGAGGAGGATGGAAGAGAAGATAAACAAAAAAGAGGAAGAGGATTACAAAACAAAAAGAAGAGGAGGATGAGGAAGAGAAGATAAAAAAGAAAAAAGAGGAAGAGGAGACAAAACAAAAAAGAGAAGTGGAGAAGAGAAAATAAATGTGGAGGAGGAAAAAAAAGAAAAAAGAGAAGATAAAAGAAAAAAGAGAGAGGATTACAAAATAAAAGAAGAGGAGGATGTGGAAGAAAGATAAAAGAAATAAAAAAAAAAAAAGAAGAGGATTACAAAAAAAAAGAAGAGGAGGATGTGGAGAGAGTGTTATAAAAGAAAAAAAAGAGGGGAAAATAAAAAGGAGGAAGTGGGAAGAGAACACAAAAAAAGGAAGAGGATTATAAAAAAAAAAGAAGAGGAGGATGTGGAAGAGAAGATAAAAAGAAGGAAGAGGATTACAAAACAAAAAAAGAGGAGGAGTGGGAAGAGAAGATAAAAAAAAAAAAGAGGAAGAGGATTACAAAACAAAAGAAGAGGAGGATATAAAGAGAAGATAAAATAAAAAAAGAATTGAGAGGATTACAAAACAAAAGAAGAGGAGGATGTGGAAGATATAAAAAGAAAAAAGAGGTTATAAAACAAAACAAAAGAAGAGGAGCTATGTGGAAGAGAAGATAAAAAAAAGAGGAAGAGACAAAACAAAGAAGAGGAGGTTAGAAAACAAAAGAAAAAAGAGGAAGAGGCTAAAAAAAAAAGAGGAGGAGTTCAAACAAAAAAGGAAGAGGATTACAAAACAAAAAAAAAAGAGGAGGGGAGAAGCTATAAAAAGAGGAAGAGGTTCACAAAACAAAAGAAGAGGAGTTATGTGAAAACAAAAGAATTAAAGAGGAAAATAAGAAGTGTAAGTTCAGACATAAAAAGAGAATGTGGAGTGATAAAACAAAAAAAAAGAAAAGGAAGGATTACAAAACAAAAGAAAGGAGGATGTGGAAAAGAAGACAAAAAAAAAAGAGTGAGGATTACAAAAACAAAAAAAGAGGAATTAGAGAGAAGATAAAAGAAAAAAGAGGAAGAGGATTACAAAACAAATAAAGAGAGGAGTGAGTTAAGAAACAAAAAAGAAAAAAAAGAAGAGGATTACAAAACAAAAGAAGAGGAGGATGTGGAAGAGAAGATAAAAAAAAAAGAGGAAGAGGGTTACAAAAAAAAAAGAGGAGGATGTGGAAAGAGAAGAAAAAAAAAAAAGAGAGGAGAGTTATAAAAAACAAAAGAAATTAGAGAGAAGATAAAAAAAAAAGAGTGAAGAGGTTCAAAACAAAAGAAGAGGAGGATGAGGGAAAAAAGAAAAAAAAAAAAGAGGAAGAGGATTACAAAATAAAAAGAAGAGTTCAGACATATAAAGAGAAGATAAAAAAAAAAAGGAAGAGGATTACAAAACAAAAGGTTGCTATAATAAGGAAGTAAGTTCAGACATAAAAGAAAAAGAGGAAGAGGAAAAAAAAAAGAAGAGAGGAGGATGTGAAATAAAAGTGTAAGTTCAGACATAAAAGAAGAGTGAGTTACAAAAAAAAAAAAGAGAGGAGGATTGCTATAATAAAGTGTAAGTTCAGACATAAAAAGAAAAAAGAGGAAGAGGAAAACAAAACAAAAGAAGAGGAGGATGTGAAAAGAGTAACAAAGACATAAAAGAGGAAGAGTGATAAAACAAAAGAATTAGGAGGATGTGGAAGAGAAGTTCAAAAAGAAAAAGAAGGAAGAGGATTACAAAAAAAAGAAGAGGAGGATGTGGATAAAAAAGAAGATAAAAAGAAAAAAGAGGAAGAGGATTACAAAACAAAAGAAAGAAGAGGAGGATGTGGAAGAGAAGATAAAAAGAAAAAAGAGGAAGAGGATTACAAAACAAAAGAAGAGGAGGATGTGGAAGAGAAGATAAAAGAAAAAAGAGGAAGTTACAAAAACAAAAAATTAGAGAGGAGGATGCAAAAATAAGAAAGTTAAAACAAAAAAAGGAAGAGGATTACAAAACAAAAGAAGAGGAGGATGTGGGAGGAGAAGATAAAAAAAAGAGGGAGAGGTTCAAAACAAAAAGAAGAGGAGGATGAAGAGAAGATAAAACAAAAAAGAGGAGAGGATTACAAAATAAAAGAAAGGAGGACATATAAAGATAAAAGATAAAAGGAAGAAAAAAAAAGAATTAGAGAGGATTACTATAAAAGAGTGTAAGTTCAGACATAAAAGAGAGAGGAGAAGAGAAAAAAAAAAAAGAGGAGAGGGGTTACTAAACAAAAAGAAGAGGAGGATTGGAAGACATATAAAAAGAAAAGAGAGAAGAGTTACAAAACAAAAGAAGAGGAGTTGTATAATAAGAAGATAAGTTCAAAAAAATAAAGAGAGGAGTTACAAAACAAAAGAAGAGGAGTTGCTATAATAAGAGTGTAAGTTAAAAACAAAAAAGAGAAGAGGAGTTAAAAAAACAAAAATTAGAGAGGAGGATGCTATAAGAAAAAGAGGGTAATTACAAAGACAAATAAAGAGAGAGAGGATTACAAAACAAAAAAAAAAAGAGGAAGAGGTTGCTAGAAGAGAGTGTAAGTTCAGAAAAGAAAAAAAAAGAAGAGGAGTTACAAAAAAAAGAAAAAGAAGAGGAGGATGTAATAAGAGAAGTTAAAACAAAAAAGAGGAAGAGGATTACAAAACAAAAACAAAAGGAGGATGTGGAGAGAAGATTGCTATAAAAAGAGGAAGAGGATTACAAAACAAAAGTGAGAAGAGAAGACAAAAAAAAAGAGGGAGAGGGTTGCAAAAAAAAAGTGAAGAGAAGTTCAAAACAAAAAAGAGAGAGAGCGAGTTAGAAAACAAAAAAAAAGAAGAGGAGGATAATATGAGTAAAGAAAAAGGAAAAAGAGAGAAGAGAGTTACAAAACAAAAGAATTAGGGAGGTTGCTATAATAAAAGAAAAAGAGGAAGACATATAAAGAAAAAAAAGAAAAGAGAGGAGGATGTGGAAGAAAATAAAAAAAAAGAAGAGAGAGGGAAACAAAATAAGAGTGTAAGTTCAGACATATAAAGAGAGAGAGAGAGTTACAAAACAAAAGAAAGAGGAGGGGGAGAGAAGATAAAAAAAAAAGAGTAAGAGGATTACAAAAAAAAAGAAGAGTGAGTTATAAAATAAAAAGAAAAAAGAGAAGAGGATTGCAAAAACTATAAAAGAGTGTAAGTTCAGACATGTGGAAGAGTGAGTTACAAAAAAAAAAAAAGAGGAGAGAGAGAACAAAATAAAAAGAGTGTAAGTTCAGAACATAAAAGAAAAAAGTTATAAAAAAAAAAAAGAAGAGAGGGGTTGTGGAAGAGAGTAAGTTCAGAATAAAAAAGAGAGAGAGGAGTTACAAAACAAAAAGAAGAGGAGGTTGCTATAAAGAGAGTGTAAAAGAAAAAAAGAGGAAGAGGATTACAAAACAAAAGAAGAGGAGGAGTGGAGAGAAGATAAAATAAAAAGAGGAACAGGATTACAAAACAAAAGAAGAGGAGGATGTGAAGAGAAGATAAAACCAAAAAAAAAGAGGAAGAGTTAGTTAAAAGAAAGGAGGATGTGTTCAGACATATAAGAAAAAAGAGGAGAGGTTTACAAAACAAAAAGAAGAGGAGGAGGTTGCTAGAAATAAAAGAAAAAAGTTCAGACATATAAAGAGAGAGAGTGAGTTACAAAACAAAATAAAAGAAAAAAGAGGAAGAGGATGCTAAAAGAAAGGAGTAAGAGTTCAGACATAAAAAAAGAGAGAGAGGAGTTACAAAACAAAAAAGAATTAGGAGGGGGAAGAGCTATAAAAAGTGTAAGATTACAAAGACAAATAAAGAGGAGGATGAGTTAGAAATAAAAAAAATTAGAGGAAGAGGATTACAAAACAAAAGAAAGGAGAGAGGTGTAAAAGTTCAGACATATAAAAAAAGAAAGTGAAGTTTACAAAAAAAAAAAAAAAAAGAGGAGGATGCAAAATAAAAGAAAAAGTTCAGACATATAAAAAGAAGAGAGTGATAAAACAAAACAAAAAAGAAGGGGTTGCAAAAAGAAGAGGAGGGGAGAGAAGATAAAAGAAAAAAAAAGAAAGAGGATTACAAAACAAAAGAAGAGGTTGGAGGGGAAGAGAAGTTCAGACATAAAAAGAGAAGAGAGTTATAAAAAAACAAAAGAAAGACGGGATTGCTATAATAAGAGGAGGAAAAAGTTCAGACATATAAAGAGGAAGTGAGTTACAAAACAAAAAACAAATTAAGAAAAAAGAGGGGTTGCTATAATAAGAGTGTAAGTTCAGACATATAAAGAGAGAGAGTGAGTTACAAAACAAAAGAATTAGAGGATGTGGAAGGTTGCTAAAAGAAAAAGAGAGGAAAGTTCAGACATATAAAAAGAAGAGGAGGTTAGAAAATAAAAAAAAAAAAGAAGGGGTTGCTAAAATAAAGAAGAAGGTTGGAAGAGAATATAAAAGAAAAAAGAGGTTATTACAAAACAAAAAATTGGGAGGAGAAGATAAAATAAGATGTAAGTTCAGACATATAGAAGAGAGAGAGTTATAAAACAAAAAAAAGAGGTTACAAAAAAAAATAATAAGGATGTAAGAGAATAAATAAAGAAAAAGAGGAAGAAAACAAAACAAAGAAGAGGAGGATGTGGAAGAGAAGATAAAAAAAAAAGAGAGAGGAGTTACAAAACAAAAAAAGAATTAGAGAAAAGGGGTTAAAAAAAAAAAAGAAGAAGTTGGGAAGAAAGAAATAAAAAAGAGAGAGTGGAAGATAAAACAAAAAAAATTAGAGAGAAGAGGATGGGAAAACAAAATAAGAGGAGGATGGGAAGAGAAGACATATAAAGAGGAGAGAGGATTACAAAAAAAAAAGGAATGTGGAGAGAATTTGCTAAAAAAAAGTGTAAGTTCAGACAAACAAAAGAGAGAGGAGGATGTGGAGTTACAAAACAAAAAAAAAAAAGAGGAAGAGGATTGCAAAAAAAAGAAGAGGAGGAGTGGAAGAGAAGATAAAAGAAAAAAAAAAAAAAGAGGAAGAGGTTACAAAACAAAAAATTAGGAGAGGATTTGCTATAATAAGAAGATAAGTTCAGACATAAAAAAGAGAGAGGAGTTACAAAAAAAAAAGAAGAGGAGGAGAGGAAGAGAAGATAAAAGAAAAAAGAGGAAGAGGTTCAAAACAAAAGAAGAGGAGTGAAATAAAAAAAGAAAAAAAGAAAAAGAGAGAGGTTTACAAATAAAAAGAGTGTAAGTTCAGACATATAAAGAGAGAGAGTGAGTTATAAAACAAAAGAATTAGAGAGGGGGTTGCTATAATAAGAGTGTAAGTTCAGACATATAAAGAGAGAGAGTGAGTTACAAAACAAAAGAATTAGAGAGGGGGTTGCTATAATAAGAATGTAAGTTCAGACATATAAAGAGAAGAGAGTTTACAAAAACAAAAAAGAAGAGAGGGGAAGCTATAATAAAAGAAAAAAGTTCAGACATACAAAACAAAAGAGAGGTTATAAAACAAAAAAGAAAAGAGAGGGTTGCTATAATAAGGAGTACAAAAGTTCAGACATATAAAGAGAGAGTGAGAAGTTAAAAAACAAAAAAATTAGAAGAGGATTGCTATAATAAAGAAGAGTTCAGACATATAAAAAGAGAAAAGTGAGTTACAAAGAGGAAAAGAATTAGAGAAAAGTTGCTATAGGATGATTGTAAGTTCAGATAAATAAAAAAGAGACAAATAGAAGAGAGTTACAAAACAAAAGAAGAGGAGGGGAAGAGCTATAAAAAGAGAAGTTCAGACATAAAGAGAGAGAGTGAGTTATAAAACAAAAGAAGAGAAGAGGATTACAAAAACAAAAAGAATAGGAAGAGAAGTTCAGACATAAAAAGAGGAAGAGAGTTACAAAACAAAAGAATTAGAGAGGGGGTTGCTATAATAAGAGTGTAAGTTCAGACATATAAAGAGAGAGAGTGAGTTATAAAACAAAAGAATTAGAGAGGGGGTTGCTATAATAAGAGTGTAAGTTCAGACATATAAAGAGAGAGAGTGAGTTACAAAACAAAAGAATTAGAGAGGGGGTTGCTATAATAAGAGTGTAAGTTCAAAACAAAAGAAGAGGAGTGAAGAGAAAAAAAAGAAAAAAAGAGGAAGAGGACAACAAAACAAAAGAAGAGGAGGATGTAAGAGAAGACAAATAAAAAAGAGGAGAGTTACAAAACAAAAAAGAGGAGGAGGGAAGAGAAGCTAAAAGAAAAAAGAGGAGAGGATTCAGACAAAAAAGAAGAGAGAGTGAGAAGAGAAAAAACAAAAAAAAGAAGAGGAAAAATTAAAATAAGAGAAGAAGTTCAAGAGAAATAAAAAGAGAGAGATGAGTTACAAAACAAAAAAGAAGAGGAGGTTGCTAAAAAAAAGAGGGAAGGGAAGAGAAGTGTAAAAGACATAAAAAGAGGAAGAGAGTTACAAAACAAAAGAAAGAGGAGGTTGCTATAATAAAGAGTAAGTTCAAAATAAAAAAGAGAGAGAGGTTACAAAACAAAAGAAGAGGAGGATGAGGAAGAGAAGATAAAAGAAAAAAAGAGTGTAAGTTACAAAACAAAGAAAGAGAGAAGAAAGAAAAAAAAGAAAAAGAGAAGATTGCTACAAAAAAATGGGGAAAAAGAAGACATATAAAGAAAAGTGAGTTATAAAACAAAAAAAAGGGAGAGGATTGGAAAGAAACAAAAAAAAAAAAAGAGGATTACAAAAAAGAGAAGATAAAAGAAAAAAAGAAAAAAGGAGAGGACAAAAAAAAAAGAAGAGAGGATATGGAAGAGAAGTTATAAAAGAAAAAGTTAGAGAGAGGATTACAAAACAAAAGAAGAGGATGAGGGAAGAGAAGATAAAACAAAAAAAGAGGAAGAGGATTACAAAACAAAAGAAGAGGAGGATGTGAAGAGAAAATAAAAGAAAAAAAGGAAGAGGATTACAAAACAAAAAAGAAGAGGAGGATGGAAGAGAAGACAAAGAAAAAAAAGTGAAAGGTTCAAAACATAAAAAAGGGAGGAAAGAGTTATAAAACAAAAAAATTAGAAGAGGATAAAAAAATAAAAAGAAGAGGAATGTGGAAGAGAAGAAAAAAAAAAGGAAGAGGATTACAAAACAAAAAAAGAAGAGGAGGATGGAAGAGAAGATAAAAGACAAAAAGAGGAGAGGAGTTACAAAACAAAAAAAGAAGAGGAGGCTAAGAAAGGGAAGAGAAGAGAAAAAGAAAAAGAGGAAGAGGAGTTATAAAACAAAAGAAGAAGAAGGATAACAAAAGAGAAGTTCAGACAAAAAAAGAGAGAGGTGAGTTACAAAACAAAAAGATTAGAGAGGGGGGTTTGCTAAAGAAAAAGAGGAAGTTCAGACAAACAAAAGAAGAGAGAGGAGTGAAGAGAAAACAAAAAAAAAAGAGGGAGAGGACACAAAAAAAAGAAGAGGAGGAGTGTAAGAGAAGACAAATAAAAAGAGAGGAGAAGGAAACAAAACAAAAAAGAGGGGAGGAGGGGAAGAGATAATAAAAGAAGAAAAAGAGGAAGACATATAAAAAAAAAAAGAAGAGGTTATGTGGAAAACAAAAAAAAAAAGAGAAGGGATTACAAAACAAAAGAAGAGGAGGATGAAGAGAAGATAAAAAGAAAGAGAGGAAGAGTTATAAAACAAAAAGAAGAGGAGGATGAAAAAGAGAAGTTCAGAAAAATAAAGAGAAGAGGATTATAAAACAAAAGAAAGAATTAGAAGAGAAGTTCAAAATATAAAAGAGGAAGAGAGTTATAAAACAAAAAAAGAAGAGAGAGGAGTTACAAAACAAAAAAACAAAGACAGAGGGAGAGTTTAGAAAACAAAAAGAAGAGGAGGTTGGAAGAGAATAAAAAGAAAAAAAAAAAGAGGAGGTTACAAAACAAAAAAGAATGAAGAGAAGATAAAAGAGGTTGAAAAAAAAGTGTAAAGAAAGAGAGTTCAAAAAAAAAGAGGAAGAGTTACAAAACAAAAGAAAAGAATTAGGGAAGTTGCTATAAAGTGGAAGTTCAGACAAAAAGAGAAAAAAAAAGTTACAAAACAAAAAAAAAAGAAAGGGGGAGGATATGGAAGAGAAGATAAAAGAAAAATAAGAGAGAGAGGAGGTTACAAAACAAAAAAGGGAATTGGAAGGGGTTGCTAAAAAAAGAGTGTAAGTTCAGACATGTAAGAAAGAAAAAGAAGAGGTTACAAAAACAAGAAGAGGAGGATGTGGGAAAAAGAAAAAGAAGAGAAGAGGGGTTGAGGAAAATAAGAAAAAAAAAGAGGAAGAGGATTACAAAACAAAAGAAGAGAGATGATGGGAAGTTAAAAAAAAAAAAAAAGAAAGGATTACAAAACAAAAAAGGGAGGAGGATAAAAGAGTAAGTTAAAACAAAAAAAGGGAGAGGATTACAAAACAAAAGAATTAGGAAGATTTGATGTGGAAGTAAGTTCAGACATAAAAAAAAAAGAGGAGTTACAAAACAAAAGAAAGAGGAGGGGGAGAAGAAAGAGAAAAAAACAAAAAGGAGAGAGAGAAGATTACAAAACAAAAAAAGAAGAGGAGGATGAAAATGGAAGAGATTACAAAGACAAAAAGAAAGAAAAAAAAGGGAGAGGAAAACAAAGAAAAAGAAAAGGAGGGGTTGCTAAATAATAAGAGAAAGAGAAAAAACAAAAAAAGAGGAAGAGGAGTTAAAAAAAAAAAATGAGAGGAGGATGCAAAAAAGAGGAGGAGTTCAGACAGAAAAAAAAAAAAGAGGAGTGAGTTACAAAACAAAAGAAGAGGAGGATTGGGAAGAAGGAAGAGAAGGGTGGGAAGAAAGCTAAAAGAAAAAGTGTAAGGAAAAAACAATAAGAAGAGGAGGTTGGCAGAAGACAAAAGAAAAAAAAGAAAAAAAAGAAGAGGAGAGGAGGATAAAAAAAAAGAAATGCAAAAAAAGAAGAAGGTGGAAGAGAAGAAAAAAAAGAAGAGAGGATTACATAACAAAAGAAGAGGTTACAAAACAAAAAAAAGAGGATTACAAAACAAAAGAAGAAAAAAAAAAAGAAAAAAAAAGGGAAAGTTACAAAACAAAAAAAGAAGGAGGATGTGGGAAGAAAAATAAAGAAAAAAGAGGAGAGGATTACAAAAAAAAGAAAGAAAAGAGAAGATAAAAGAAAAAGAAGGGAGAGGAAAAAACAAAAAAAAAGAAGAGTGGGAAGAGAAGATAAAAAACAAAAAAGAAGGATGTGGGAGAGGATGTAAAAACAAAAAAAAAAGAGAGGAAGGAAGAGAAAAAAAGGAAAAAGAAAGGAGGAGAAGAGGATAAAGAAAAAAAAGACAAAAGAAGAGGAGAGTGGAAGAGAAGACAAAAAAAAAGAGGAAGGAAAAGAAGAGGAGGAGGAAGAGAAGATAAAAAAAAAAAGAGGAAGATTAAAAACAAAAAGAAGAGGAGGATTGGAAAACAAAAAGAGGAGGAAAAGAAGAAAAAAAAAGGAGGAGAGGATTACAAAAAACAAAGAGGAGGAGAGAGAAGAAAAAAGAAAAAAAAGGGAGAGGATTACAAAACAAAAGAAAGGAGGAGGAGAGAAGATTAGGATTACAAAACAAAAGAAGAGGAGGATGTGGAAGAGAAGATAAAAAAAAAAAAAGGAAGAGGATTACAAAACAAAAAGAAGAGGAGGATGGAAGAGAAGATAAAAAGAAAAAAAAAGAGGAAGAGGATTACAAAACAAAAGAAGAGGAGGAGGAAGAGAAGAAAAAAAAAAAAAGAGGAAGAGGATTACAAAACAAAAAGAAGAGGAGGATGTGGAAGAGAAGATAAAAAAAAAAAGAGGAAGAGGATTACAAAAAAAAGAAGAGGAGGATGTGGAAAGAAGATAAAAAGGATTACAAAAAAAAAAGAGGAGGAGAAGAGGATTCAAAACAAAAAAAAGAAGAGGAGGATGTGGAAGAGAAGATAAAAAGAAAAAAAAAAGGAAAGGAGGATTACAAAACAAAAGAAGAAGATTAAAAAACAAAAGAGGAGGATGTGGAAGAGAAGATTACAAACAAAAAAAAAAAAGAAGGAAGAGGATTACAAAAAACAAAAGAAGAGGAGGATGTGAAGAGAAGATAAAAAAAAAAGAGGAAGAGGATTACAAAAAACAAAAAGAAGAGGAGGATGTGGAAGAGAAGATAAAAGAAAAAAAAGAGGAAGAGGATTACAAAAAAAAGAAAGGAGGAGAAGAGATAAAAAAAAAAAGAAGATACAAAACAAAAGAAAAAAAAAAAAAGAGGAAGAGGATTACAAAACAAAAGAAGAGGAGGATGTGGAAGAGAAGATAAAAGAAAAAAAGAGGGAGAGGATTACAAAACAAAAGAAGAGGAGGATGTGGAAGAGAAGATAAAAGAAAAAAAGAGGAAGAGGATTACAAAACAAAAGAAGAGGAGGATGTGGAAGAGAAGATAAAAGAAAAAAGAGGAAGAGGATTACAAAAAAAAAAGAAAGGAGGAGGAGGATGTGGAAGAAGATTAAAAGAAAAAAAAGAGGAGGATGTGGAGGAGAACAAAAAAAAAGAAGAAGAGGAGAAAAAACAAAAGAAGAGGAGGATAAAGAAATAAAAGAAAAAAAGAAGAGGATTACAAAACAAAAGAAGAGGAGGATGTGGAAGAGAAGATAAAAGAAAAAAAAGAGGAAAGGATTACAAAACAAAAGAAGAGGAGGATGGGAAGAGAAGATAAAAGAAAAAAAAAGGAAGAGGATTACAAAACAAAAGAAGAGAGGATGTGGAAGAGAAGATAAAAGAAAAAAAAGGGAGGAGGATGGAAAAAAACAAAAGAAGAGGAGGATGTGGAAGAGAAGATAAAAAAAAAAAAAAGAGGAAGAGAGGATTACAAAACAAAAAAAAAGAGAGAGGATGTGGAAAAGAAGAAGATAAAAAAAAAAAAAAAAGAGGAAGAGGATTACAAAACAAAAGAAGAGGAGGATGTGGAAGAGAAGATAAAAAAAAAAGAGGAAGAGGATTACAAAAACAAAAAAGAAGAGGAAGATGGAAGAAGAAGATAAAAATATAAAAAAAAGAGGAAGAGGATTACAAAACAAAAGAAGAGGAGGAGGTGGAAGAGAAGATAAAAAAAAAAAAAGAGGAGAGGATTACAAAACAAAAAAGAGGAGGATGTGGAAGAAGAAGATAAAAAAAAAGAAAAAAGAGGAAGAGGATTACAAAACAAAAGAAGAGGAGAGGAGGATAAAAGAAAAAAAAGAGGAGAGATTACAAAACAAAAAAGAAGATGGAAGAGAAGATAAAAGAAAAAAGAGGAAGAGGATTACAAAAAAAAAAAAGAAGAGGAGGAAGGAAGAGAAGATAAAAAAAAAAAAAGGATTACAAAAAAAAGAAGAGGAGGATGGGAAGAAAGACAAAAGAAAAAAAGAGGGAGGCCAACAAAAAAAGAAGAAAAGATAAAAGAAAAAAAGAAAAAAGAGGATTAGGAAAAAAAAAAAAGAAGAGGAGGATGTGGAAGAGAAGATAAAAGAAAAAAGAGGGAGAGGATTACAAAACAAAAGAAGAGGAGGATGTGGAAGAGAAGATAAAAGAAAAAAAGAGGAAGAGGATTACAAAACAAAAGAAAAGGAGGATGTGGAAGAGAAGATAAAAAAAAAAAAGGAAGGATTACAAAACAAAAGAAGAGGAGGATGTGGAAGAGATAAAAGATAAAAAAAAGAAGAGGAAGAGGATTACAAAACAAAAGAAGAGGAGGATGTGGAAGAGTAACAAAAAAAAAAAAAGGGAAAGGATTACAAAACAAAAGAAGAGGAGGATGTGGAAGAGAAGATAAAAGAGAAAAAAGGAAAGGATTACAAAAACAAAAGAAGAGGAGGATGTGGAAGAGAAGATAAAAAGAAAAAAAATATAAAAGGAGGGAGAGGATTACAAAACAAAAGAAGAGGAGGATGTGGAAGAGAAGATAAAAGAAAAAAAGAGTGAGAGGATTACAAAACAAAAGAAGAGGAGGATGGGAAGAATAATAAAAACAAAAAAAGAAGGGATAAGAAATAAAAAAAAAGAGAAAGATTACAAAACAAAAGGAGGAGGATGTGGAAGAGAAATAAAAAGAAAAAAAAGAGGAAGAGGATTACAAAACAAAAGAAGAGGAGGAGGAAGAGAAGATAAAAGAAAAAAAGAGGAAAGGATTAAAAAAAAAAAAAGAAGAGGAGGATGTGGGAAGAGAAGATAAAAAAAAAAAGAAGAAAGGATTACAAAAACAAAAGAAGAGGAGGATGTGGAAGAGAAGAAAAAGAAAAAAGGAAGAGGATTACAAAACAAAAGAAGAGGAGGATGTGGAAGAGATAAAAAAAGAAAAAGAGGGAGAGGATTACAAAAAAAAAAAGAAGAGGATGTGGAAGAGGATAAAAGAAAAAAGAGAAGAAAAAAACAAAAAAGAGGAGAAAGAGTTATTAAAAACAAAAGAAGAGGAGGATGTGGAAGAGAAGATAAAAAAAAAAAAGAGGAAGAGGATTACAAAACAAAAGAAGAGGAGGATGTGGAAGAGAAGATAAAAGAAAAAAAGAGGGAGAGGATTACAAAACAAAAGAAGAGGAGGATGTGGAAGAGAAGATAAAAGAAAAAAAAAGAAGAGGAGGAAAGAGCAAAACAAAAAAAGAGGAAGAGGATTACAAAACAAAAGAAGAAGGATGAAG